CGTGCGCAAGAAAGTGCATTTACAGATTCTTTCAAAGTATCGCTCAGCAGATATGGAAGATTTGAGTTTATCGTTTGGAGTTTTTCCGTTATACATCACTTTTCGTCATTACGACTTAAAATCCTTTTGCAATACCCCATGAATGACTGCTTTCAGAAGGTACTACCGGTTGGTAAATCGCCTGCAAGTGTGACGAGTAACAATCAAAAAGAAGTATCAAAAGAAGGGAGAAAGGAGAAAGAAGAGGTTTGTTCGCTCAAGAGCGCGAAATAATCTCCCTTTTTTTGGGAGAAAATCTTCGTCGTAGTGGTTAAGAAATCCGCCAACTTTTTTCTCTTTTTGCTCTTTTTGACTCTGAACTAGCGCAAAAGCTTTTGTGATTGATGTTCTCCTACGAATGCCATGTGGGTACTCTACTGTGGGGAAAGCAGCGAATACGATGGAAAAAACAGAGCTCCCTAATGTAATTCATTGGACTTTTACCGGGTCCACTTTTCTGTCTAAGATCGTGCGCAGTCAAGCAAAATCATACAAAAGTGGATTGAACTTGATTTATAACTTTCTCCACAACCATACTCCTGGCCCTGTACTGCGTCCTTGGTTGTTTGCATGGCTATCGCCTTTAGCTATAACCGATATTTCGCAACAAATTCTTAAACCGCCATGTACAGTATACCTTTAGTAATTGAAATGCTACACACATAATTCTAGCTAGCTCGTTTTCTGCGTTATAACTGGAAAAGAGTTTGCCTTTTGATGCTATTTGAACCTTAAAATTTTGTCGCAAGTTGTAATGCAGAAAAACCAATGCGATTTTGGATCGGTTGTATAGTGCACTACCAAACTACACAATACATGTCATTCTAAGTAAAAGTAATTTTTTACAATGAAAGCAGTCAAGTAATTAACAAAAAGTTTGCACTTGAACGATTTCGCTGCCTGCACCTACTAACGCTATCCCACATAGAGCCTAACAAGGCACGTAGATACAATCTTCACCAAGATGTCCAACTACGCTAAGTAGCATCATTGCGATCTCCAACCTTCTCGCATTCCAGAGAAATCAAACTTCCGGTTGAACTTCTAGCTCTCTAATCAGTTCTAACACAAGACCGAAGTGGATGAGCTAAGCACAATATCATGTTGAGGGAGAC